CACGCGAGTAGGAAGGGCATGGTGTTGATGCCCAGCCAGTAGACCTCCCCGCAGAACGCACGCAGCACGGTCTGGTCCTTGTCGCGCAGTTTGTCTGTCGGTCGGTGCCGTCCGCCATCAGGTGGCCGTGCTTCGGTAATCTTGTCGGCGTAGGCGCGCTGGTGCAGGAAGGACCCCATCTCGTTCTCCTCGATGGTGACCCCGCACTGCTCCAGGCTGGTGATACCGTCGTTCATGTCCTCCCAGGTGCCCCACTTGTAGAGCTTCCGGGTCTGAGACACGATGTTGGTCCACTTGGGGTGAGCGGTGTCACCTGCCAGAATGAAGTCATCCACGTGCGCCATGACCATACCGATGAGGCGTCTGGTCTGTGGGCACCGCACCTGCCACATGCACGGCTCCAGCTCGCAAGGCTGCAGTCCCAGCTTCTTGAAATCGACCTTCACCGTCCCCCACCAGTGACGTGGGGCCTCCCCGATGCCGTACCCGGGCTTGACGACGCGTAGGAGCTCGCCCTCCTTCACCTTGAAGGCCTTCTTCAGCACGGCGTCGGGTTCGATGAACAAGTCCTTTTCCAGTTCGTTCGCCTGCAGGAATGCCGAGGTGACGTCGCCCTTGATCAACTTCCAGTTGTGCGCAGCCGCGACAGTGAGCATCACGTTGCGAGCCCGTCTAGAGGCAGTTGGGCTAGCCGTAGGCTCCTTCCCGAGGTCCTTCGTCTGGTAGCCGAGGAGCACGAGTCGCGCCTTGGCCCTGCCGTCCGCCTTCCTCGTGAAGATCCACCGCGCCCAGATGATGTCGGCACTGTCCTTGACCTCAGACGGTGGTACTGGTCGGAGTCCACGGTGCTGAAGCCAGTTGTCCGTTTCCTTAGAGATAGCCACCTCGAACTCTGCCCTCTCGGATGCGTTCATCTTGGACCATGTGAGCTCGAGCTTGTCCTTCCGGCGCTGGTTGGCGACGAAGCTGCTGAGAACTGCCTCCATCATGCGCTTGTCGGCGCTCCTGTCGGCCCCCTCGCTCTTGATGTACTCGAAGTAGACTGTCTGATGCTCGTCTACCCCCAGGAGAATGTCCAGGTCGTCCTTCTGAAGGTCCACCCAGAGCTCGCTCTCGTCCATGTCGTTGTTATCCTTCCGACGCTTCTCCGGCGGCTGATGGAGGTCCAGCTCCGGTCCACGATGTGTCATGCGGTACCGAGGGCGCGCTGACGATGACGACGCAGAAGGTTCCCCTGGTGCTGCTGGTGTTGCTCCTCCAGTGGCTGGTGCTTCAGCTGGAGGCAGGGTCAATGGCGGAGGCTGTTGAGGTATCTCTGCTCCTGCGGGTGGTACCATCTCCAGGTCCTGAGCGTCTTCGGAGGGTTCGCCTGGTTCAGCTTCAGGTTGAGCCATGGACCTCGGTGTAGTGTGGCTCGACTCCGGTCTATTCGTTTCCTCCTCCGTGGCAGCGGCAGGTGGCGCTTCTGCCCCATCTCCTGGTTGGAACGCCTCGGTGGTCCTCGGGGGCTCGTACGCTGTGAGGTCCGGGCGGCGCTGCTCCACCAGGTCCTCGAACGTCCCAGCCTTGGCGGTCTCCAGGATCTCTGTCATGGTCTTCCCGAGGGAGGCCTGCTCCTTGAGTTCGGACAGCATCTTCTCGGTTTCGGAGGCTGGTCGTAGATGCTCGGGCGCGCACCTGATCAACGTGTTCCCGTGGGCGATCCAGACAACCGAGGTCACCCGAGTGCGGCCGTCGATATGCCGTTTTTCTTGAACAAGTACTCGTGCAGGTCCGTACCAACCTCCTTTCTTGCCAGGTCGGTTCTCCCGTCCCTTACCGTCGCGCCAGAAGTACACGAGGTCGCCGGCCTCCCAGGTCTGGTAGATGCGGTTCCTGGCCTGCTCTGCATGGCGTCGCCGTTCTGTGTACTCGCACTCGAGGTAGCTCTGGCGGGCCAGAAGTCGCCTCTGCTCCTGTGTCTCGCCGGTGTCCCCGTCGATGATGGCGAAGGGGTTGTTCGTGGGTGCCATCCCTGTTACGCCCAGCACGTGCTCGAACGGGGAGTGGTTCCCCACCTTGTCCATGGAGTTGATCGCACTCACGGCCCAGGTGACCAGCTCCTGCGTGCTGCAATCGGGGTCGTGGGTGGCCATCTTCGTCATGAGGCGCTTGAAGAGCTGTATGCGACGTTCCACCTTGCCCATGTGCCAGTGCGCCTCCCCAGGTGCAATCCATATCTCGATCCCATGGTCGGATGCCCACTTCGCGACTGTCTGAAAGCAGTGGCACCCCTCAGGGTCCATGCGAAGGAGGGCAGGTTGACGGTAGTGGCTGCACCACGATTCCCACGTAGAGATCACCTCGATGGCTGATCGGTTGCCGCTGCGCTCGCCCTTCTGCCCGTGGTAGGTGACGCTGGTGAGGCCGGACCCCTCGTCGAGGTTCAGGGTCATGATGTGGGAGGTCTGCTGAGGTGAGAGCCACTCCAGTCCGTCCGTGGCGAGGACTTCTAGCACGCTCGGAATCTCCACGCCTGAGGCCACTCGTGCAGCTTTGGGGAGCTTCCCGATATGGCAGCCATGGCATTGAAATTGAAGTGCCAGTCGGAGTACAGGGACCGCTGCTCCAGAGGCCTTGAGAATCTTGTAGAGTGTCTTGTTGCTGGGGTGCCCCAGGTTGCGATGAAGTCGCGCGAGTCTCTGTTCGATCTCTGAGATCTCCTTCTTCGGCAGCTCCGTTTTGACGCCCAAGCCTCTGAGGGAAGCCTCGGCGGTCTCCATCTCGATGTCTTCCTCCGTGTTCAGCTCCTCTAATTCGCCCGACATCTCGACGTCGTCCTCCTCTGGAATCTGTTCCAGGCCCGCGTAGACCTCCTTGCCGTGCTGGGAGGCCACGTTCTTCTTGAGGATGTGTTTGGCCCAGGCTCGGCACATGGCAGGAGGATAGAAGGCTGTCTGAGCCACCAGAGGTCCGTCCTCGATGACACGATGTAGATGGTTGTCTCCGCGTCCCGGTCGGTTGCCGCAGAGCTGGCCCACCTTCGCTCCAAAGTCGGGGTCAGTAGAGCACACTCGCCACCCCTTCTTCACCAAGAGTCCGGACCTCTCGTCACGAAGTCCGTAGGCACACCCATGAATGATCGTCTCGTACATCTCTGACCGCATCTTCCTGATGGAGGGTGACTTCGACCAGCTGCGGCTGTTCCAGGGCTGCTCTAGCTCGATGTGGCAATCGACTATCTTCTTCGCCTCCTCGTACAAAGCCAGACACCCCCGCTGGATCCGGCACGCCTGTCGGATCTTGTTCGAGAGCTGCTTCCTCTGGTTCTCCGTCTTCTGGTTCAGGTTCTGGATGGGACAATCTGCGGTGCACGGTGGGCTTAACACCAACCGTCGAGGTCGTGCCAGTCGAAGGAGATGCATGGCCCTGCGGACTCCTGTGGCCGTGCCCATGTCATAGCCGTTGAAGAGCCCACGCCGTATCACCCTGCCGTGCTGCGCCTCCACCGCCTTGCCGAGCAACGACTCGCTCGGGCCGCGCACCTCCATGAGGTCCGCGCGCTTGGTCTTGGTCAGGTTGACGGTGTCCTCGCCGATCTCGAAGTAGATCTGGTCCATCACCTTGGTCTGCGCCTGGTAGAACGCGATGAGATCCGAGTCATTCAGGGACTTCAGCGGCCCCACTTCTTCACGGTCTCCGTCACCTCCGAATCGTCCAACATGCTGTCGTCCGGCACTGGCAGAAACACCCGGGGCCCCGCGGGGTCGCACTTCGCCAGCTTCGACGCCAGACGCCTCCACCGCATCGCCACGGCCTGGCTTCGGATGTCCCCTAGCGCTTCGCTGTGGGGTTCCTTCTCCGAGGTCGAGTCGTCCGGATGCAGGCGTAGGCATCGATGACTCTTTCCTCCGCGGCAACTGCATCCCGTGATCGCCCGGTTGGGCGCCTTGCAGCATGAGCACCTCGATCGAACTGTTGAGCTCGGTGGTGTCGGAGGCGGTGATTGCAGCGGTGGTCCTGCTGATGGGATCGCTGGCCCGGGGAGCCCATCTCCAGGAACACTTCGGGAGGCGTCGCAAGTAGGGCAGCAGGTGGCCATGCAGGATGAGGTCCGTACCGTGCCTGGAGTCGAAGGCAGTAGTGGGACATGCCGCCGTTGCAGCTGCATCCCCTCCGAGTCCGTCCCACAGCTCCGAAGCACTGGCATCGTCCGGGTGGCTGGTACTGCACTGGTGATCCCGTTGGACTGTTGATCGGCATCTGCTGTGGTGGTGTTGTCGATGCTGAGCCCGCTGTCGAAGGGGCTGGCGTCGGCGTGGCAGGTGAGGAGCCTGCCCGAGTCCTCGGACGCGCCCACTCTGGTCGCGCCGACGGCGGCTGCTGTCGCGAAGAAGAGTCTCCACATGACATCAGACGCGTTCTGACATGTAGGATATGGAAAGGCTGAACTGCTGGGAATCTCGGAAGTTCCTGCACAACATTTTTGGGCCACACGAGGCTGAGGAATACTATTTGGCTTCTTGGGGTTATGTTCGGGGTTCTCCTCTGGCAGGTGCATCTCGTTTCTCTCGGTGGGTCCCCCGAAGCTCGCCCTAGTTGTCCTCTGGGTCCCCCTAGAAAGAACCTCTCGTCGCCTCCGAAGTCCCCGAGAGTGTCCAAGAGCTCCCCCGAGTACTCGGACTCCGTGTCGCCCCTGACGGTCCCGAGAGTGTCCCCCACCTTGCCCCACTCGAACCCCTGGTCGTCATCGGTCTCGGGCTGCTCGAACGTTGAGACGTCGTGGGTCTTCTCTCGGTCGTGCATCGCGTCGCTCTCGGTCGGCTCGAAGGGGGCTGGCTCGAGGTCTCTCCTGGAGATGTGGACCCTCTCGAGGTCATCGAGGTTCCCTGGACGTGGCGGTCTCCTGGACCGGGAAAAGAACCTGGGCTCCTTGAGCATCTTTCTGTTGGCCCCCCCGATGATGAGGATGACGATGGAGATGATATCTCGCTCGCCGACATCACCAGGGGGTGCTGTCCCTAGCGCACGGCGAGGCAGCCAGCGCAGCCCGTCACGGGCTCCTCTGGCTTCTCATCCAGCACGATGGAGTCCCGCCCTGTCATGTTGACGTGGCAGCTCTCCAGGGACAAGGGTAGAGAGACCTCGCGCCACCACTGCGGTGTCGATAGGTTGATCGCCAGGTGCTTGCTCGAGAGCCTCTCGCAGTAGTAGACCTTGTTGCCCAGCGTCGGCAACCCGATCCAGTTGCGGCCGCAGTCGACCACGACCTTCGAGTCGTCCGTCAGGATGTCCACGCCCAGGAGAATGGGGACGCGGTTCGCCATCACTGAGAGGCTGATGTCTCGGAGCTCCGGTCCCAAGTAGGCGCGTCCAGAGACCGTTCCCATCGAGCTCTTCTGGAGCCCGTCGCCGAAAGTGAAGGAGCAAGTGTCGTCGTGCGCCTCGAACTCCACGTCGTGGTTCACCATCATCTCGTACATGAGGTTCTCAACGCTCTCGACGCCACCGAGACTGCGCGTAGCTCCAATGTCCAGCACGGCCCAGATCCCCTCGCGCTCAAGCAGGTAGACGTGCTCGTCCAGGGCCGACAAGATGAAGCCGTTGTGCGTGTTAGTCGTGCCTCCAGTGGCGCCGCCCCCGACCTTGCCACGGTCGGGACAGTCTCGAGCTCGATGTCCGAACTGTCTGCGCACGATGCACTTCATCTTGGACAGATCTCGCGCACTTTCAAAGCGAACTCGTCGATCTTGTTGTCCGCGTCCACGTCCTTTAGCCTGTCCTCGGGGCCGCCACTCAGCGTGAGGCTTCGGCGGTGGAGCTTGTCGTCCATCTTCTCGCGGAACCACCACCGGGTAGTAGTCCCTTGCTACTCGTACTTGTCGAAGGAGATCCCTGGCATCCTTGAAGCTCCGGCCAGCTTGGCGAAACTGCGCGAACACCTCGTTGTCTGCCTCCAAGTCGTCGGGCTCCACCTCCTCGTGCTCGTCCGCAAGGTTGAGGAGCTGCTCGGCCAGCTCGTGCATCTCCTCTGCTTCCCCGCCAGTCTCGTCCTCGTCCTCCTCAAAGTCGTTCTCGAACAACGCCCGCTCACGCTTGACTTTGCCATCCAGCTCCGCAAGAGCCTCCGCTGGGAAGCGCGTGAGCAACGTCTTGTAGGTCTTTCCGTAGTTGAAGTCCCCTCCCGCGGTCGCCGTCACTTCACCTCTGAGCACGGGGGTGAGTCTCGACTTCCGCAGGAACCACCATGTGCGAAGAGGCTTCGCTATCACTTCTTTCACGTCCGGGTCGATGGCCTGCAGCTGGGTCAACAGCTCCCTCTCCTTCTTCTCGAACCGGGCCGCCCAGTCCTGGAAGGTCTCTCCAGAGTTGCGGCCTATCTTCAGGAAAAACTCCTCGGCCAGCAGACCCGTGTCGTTGAGGCTGGCGTAGTCAAACTTCTCAAGCACATAGCTGAACACCCTCTCCCAGCCGACTAACTTTCCGTTGTCATCCACCTCGTCTACGTCGTTGATCGAGGGGCAGCTCTCCACGGCGTTCCGAACCCGCGGCCCAAGCGCCCGGACCAACTGTGGTCCGCAGACGTAGCGGTCGTTCACTCTGATGCTTTTCACGAACATCGACACCTCGAAGCGGTAGTTCGACAGCTTCTCTGCCTCACCGTTCCAGGATGGTACCTCGACTCGTGATGGTGCCGATGTCCCTGTTGGCGTTGTCATCGTGACGAGACTGGTGGGAGCCCGTGGCGCGGTTACCACAGGCTCCGCTACCAATCTGAATCCCGTAGAGCCTCAAGAAGCCGTCTCGGTTTCTGGACGTTCCCGACGGCTTTTCTAATTCAGCCGCGTATCTTTGCATTACATCACGTGTTAAGTGTGTTTTCTTTATTGTGTCGCCCATTTCTTTTCAACGGTATATATATATATAGTTGTTTGTTTGTTTATTTGGTTAGTCTCATCCTTTTTGGCTCAATGTTTCGCTAATGTTCTGCCCCCGCCGTGAGCGGGCGATCGCTCTTTACCCAGACTAATCAGAAAGCACGCAATGGTTCTAGCGAACTACTCCCAGAGCGTCACTGCAACGCTGCTCTGGAAGCTACCCCCAAACGCCTCAGACTCAGGCGTAATCCTTGCAAGCCTTCCCGAACGCCACCAGGCGGTCCTCCTTCTTGGTCACGAACCAGTACTGGTACTCACGAGCGTACTGCATCACATCAGATCGACGAACGTGTCGAGGTTTCGCCCATTGCTTGTAGTTGCCGAAGAAGCCGTCCATGTATTGCGTCCCTCCCCATACCTTCTTCCCGTCGATATTGAACATCTTCGTCCACTCTTCCTTCCCATGAACGACGGCGATCTGCTTCGCTCGATTGCCGAAGATCTTCCTCTTGTTGACAAGGGAATCGTACGTAGCAGCGGAGCCGCTGGAAAGAATGCCAGACTTGAAATGCTTAGTGTGCAACACAAAAAACGGAGTTGGTGTGGACGAGGAAGGAGGGGCGAGAAGGCGGGGGCGAAGGAGATAGGAAGGCAAGAAGAGGGGGCGGAGCAGGGCAGAGGGACGAACCGCGGAAGCGGAGGAGGACCAGGATAAGGATCAAACAGTCGTGCTGCGCTCCTCTGGAGCATTTCGTCTGTTGTTTGCCTGGGATTGTTTCGCTTCCGACTGGTGTGAGCTTTACGCCCCCCTGGAGCATTTCGCCCCGTATCTGGCTGGAGCATCTCGCCCCCACGTGATCTGGAGCATTTCGCCCCTACGTGATCTGGAGCATTACGCCCCTTGGAGCATTTCGCCGCGTACCTGGCTGGAGCATGTCGCCCTTACGTGATGTGGAGCATTCCGCCCCCTGGAGCATTTCGCCCCGCACCTGGCTGGAGCATTTCGCCCCTATGGCATCTGGAGCGTTACGCCCCGCCTTCTCTCCCGTCAACTGTAGTTTGGGGGCGGTGGTAACTTAAAATGCTCCGTGCAATAGCTGCGCTTCATCTGTGCTTCACATTCACCACGGGCACACGACGCAAGTGGGACAAATGAGGAAGGGGGACAACGGAGGGGAAGGAAGATGACGAGGAAGAAGGGAGGAGGAGGAGGGATGACTGGAACAGGGCACGGTGTGAACTACATGGTCGCACCCCTCGAAGATCTACCTGTTGGCGGGTTCTGAGATGAACCTTCGAGTTGTCTGTCTCTCCTCGCCGCTTCCTCGCCCCTTCCTCGCCAGGATTGTCCTCGCCCCGCCCTCGCCTGCAAGCTCCCGCTAACCTGGCCAGGCGTTTTTTTTCTGGTCTGGGAGCTCACAGAACCTGGCCAGGCGTCGTTTTTTATGTTTTTTTTTTTTTTTTTTTTCTGGTCTGGGAGCCCACAAAACCTGGCCAGGCGTTGGTTTTTTCTGGTTTTTCTGGTCTGAGGGCTCAGAAAACCTGGCCAGGCGTTGGTTTTTCTGGTTTTTCTGGTCTGACGGCAGTAGTTCGCAAGCCCCCAACCTCCAGGCCAGGTTTTGTGGGCTCCCTGACCAGAAAAACCAGAAAAAACAACGCCTGGCCACGTTTTCTGAGCCCCCAGACCAGAAAAAACATAAAAACCAACGCCTGGCCAGGTTTTCTGAGCTCCCAGACCACAAAAACCAGAAAAACCAACGCCTGGCCAGGTTTTCTGAGCTCCCAAACCACAAAAACCAGAAAAAACAACGCCTGGCCAGGTTTTCTGAGCTCCCAGACCAGAAAAACCAGAAAAACCAACGCCTGGCCAAGTTTTCTAAGCCCCCAGGAGGAGGAGGAACGGGAGAAGGAGGAGGACGAGAGAGAGAGAGAGAGAGAGAGAGAGAGAGAGAGAGAGAGAGAGAGAGAGAGAGAGAGAGAGAGAGAGAGAGAGAGAGAGAGAGAGAGAGAGAGAGAGAAAGAGAGAGAGAGCCTCAGACCAGAAAAAAACCAGAAAAACCAACGCCTGGCCAGGTTTTCTGAGCTCCCAGACCAGAAAAACCAGAAAAACCCAACGCCTGGCCAAGTTTTCTAGGCCCCCAGGAGGAGGAGGAACGGGAGAAGGAGGAGGACGAGAGAAAGAGAGAGAGAGAGAGAGAGAGAGAGAGAGAGAGAGAGAGAGAGAGGAGACAAAGACAGAGAGATAGAGGGATAACGAAAAAAAGGGTGGGGCACCGAGGTTGAAGGAGGGAGATCAAAGGATGGTCTTGGGCAAACCACCGCGGCTGTGGGCAACGATGTTCAGCGAAGCCTTTCAAAACGATCGGTCTCAAGACAACACGAAAACGACGGGAACGTTCAGAAACCGAGACGCCCTCAAGAGGTCTCTGAAGTTCTCAAACTTGCACACCTCTCTCTCTCCGGGGATGTCCAAAACTGATGTTCACGATTTACAAGTAAATCAGAATCCTTCTCCACGCGATGAGCACCTTTTGCTCTCCTGAGACGATCGCGGCCCCAGCAGCGCGATCTGTGCAGCTGCAGTCAGCTGCCTAAGTAAAACAGGCCCGCCCACCCACACCTTGAGCCAGTGGGCGGCGGTCACAGAACACGGCAGACCATGACCACACAGAGAAGCCTCTAGATCTGAACTGCATAAACAACTGCCACTCTGTGTCCCTTTCAGACCCCCCCCCGCTCCCTCCAAGAAGGTTTTCGGAAGGTGTTTGGAAGGCTGTTGGAAAACAACATTCGGGAAACCTTCCTTGGAAAAAAAAAAACCTTCCGGAAACCTTCCCAAGACCTCCCTCGGGGAGGTCTTTGAAAGGCTTGTGGGAGGAAACCACCCTGATGCCTTCCTAAAACCTTCCCCAGCAAGGTTGTTGGAAGGTTGTTTGGAAAAACCTCCCTGGAACCTTCCTAAAACCTTCCTCGGGGAGGTTTTTGGCAGGTTTTTGGAAAAACCTTCCCGGAACCTTCCTAAACATCTTCCTCAGAAAGATTGTTTGGAAGGTCTGTGGAAGATTGTTGGAAAAACCTTCCGGACCCCCCCCTAAAATCTTCCTCCGGGAAGTTGTCGGCAGTTAGTTATGTTTTCGTTTTCCAAACAATCTGTGGTGTTGGGTCATCGTTGAAGAGACGGTCGCCCCGCGTTTCTCCTTATTTTCCTCCGCTGCCCTCCTCCCCCTCCATTCGATCGAAGAATCATAATCAACACCCAATTCGGCACACCCCTCACACGTTTAGTGGCTCCATAGGGAGCTCCACCGAAGGCCCCAGTGCCCGCGGCCGCATGCGTCCCCCACACCCATTTCGGCACACCCCTCACACGTTTCGTGGCTCCATAGGGAGCTCCACCGAAGGCCCCAGTGCCCGCGGCCGCATGCGTCCCCCACACCCATTTCGGCACACCCCTCACACGTTTCGTGGCTCCATAGGGGAGCTCCACCGAAGGCCCCAGTGCCCGCGGCCGCATGCGTCCCCCACACCCATTTCGGCACACCCCTCACACGTTTCGTGGCTCCATAGGGAGCTCCACCGAAGGCCCCAGTGCCCGCGCCCGCATGCGTCACCCACACCCATTTCGGCACACCCCTCACGCGTTCCGCGGCTCCATAGGGAGCTCCACCGAAGGCCTCAAGTGCCACGCGCGCAGCGTACCCAACCCATCGGCCACACCCCTCACACGCTCGTGGATCCATAGGGAGCTCCACCGAAGGCCCCAGGCCCTCCGCCGCATCCCCCACCCCAGTTCGGCACACCCTCACACGTTTCGTGGATCCATACGGAGCCCCACCGAAGGCCCCAGTGCCCGCGGCCGCATGCGTCCCCCACACCCATTTCGGCACACCCCTCACACGTTTCGTGGCTCCATAGGGAGCTCCACCGAAGGCCCCAGTGCCCGCGGCCGCATGCGTCCCCCACACCATTTCGGCACACCCCTCACACGTTTCGTGGCTCCATAGGGAGCTCCACCGAAGGCCCCAGTGCCCGCGGCCGCATGCGTCCCCCACACCCATTTCGGCACACCCCTCACACGTTTCGTGGCTCCATAGGGAGCTCCACCGAAGGCCCCAGTGCCCGCGGCCGCATGCGTCCCCCACACCCATTTCGGCACACCCCTCACACGATTCGTGGATCCATAGGGAGCTCCACCGAAGGCCCCAGTGCCCGCGGCCGCATGCGTCCCCCACACCCATTTCGGCACACCCCTCACACGTTTCGTGGCTCCATAGGGAGCTCCACCGAAGGCCCCAGTGCCCGCGGCCGCATGCGTCCCCCACACCCATTTCGGCACACCCCTCACACGTTTCGTGGCTCCATAGGGAGCTCCACCGAAGGCCCCAGTGCCCGCGGCCGCATGCGTCCCCCACACCCATTTCGGCACACCCCTCACACGTTTCGTGGCTCCATAGGGAGCTCCACCGAAGGCCCCAGTGCCCGCGGCCGCATGCGTCCCCCACACCCATTTCGGCACACCCCTCACACGTTTCGTGGCTCCATAGGGAGCTCCACCGAAGGCCCCAGTGCCCGCGGCCGCGTGCGTCACCCACACCCATTTCGGCACACCCCTCACACGTTTCGTGGCTCCATAGGGAGCTCCACCGAAGGCCTCAGCGCCGCCGCCCGCATGCGTCACCCCCACCCATTTCGGCACACCCCCGCATTTCTCGCACGGCAGGGTCATCACCACGGTGGCGTGCCAGGGGCGCACCATGCGCGAAGGCGACGGGGCGGGGGAACGGCGCTCCGGGGGCGGCCAGACCTCCGGGGCGCGAGCAGTCCGCGGCCAGACCATCTCT